CACCGGACCACCCAATTGCCACTCTTGTTGGTTACGAACTTGTCCCGGCGGAAGTCAACCTTTCATCACCCTCAACGGCCACAGCGACCACTCTAACCCCACCGCAAGTGCCGCCGGATGCGGTGAAGCTATTCGTGGGTCAGATTCCCAGGCATCTCGAGGAAGCTGACTTGCTGCCGCTGTTCCAGAAGTTCGGCGACATCGTCGAGTTCACCGTGCTGAAGGACAAGTTCAGCGGAATGCACAAAGGTCAGTTGGTTTATTTCTATATTCAAATTGAGTGAGATTACAGTGTCAGCGATTGTTGAAAAGTCAATTGTTGTTGCTTTTTTCTGGACTCCTTTCGTCAATTTCAACAATGTTAATGAATTTTCTGCCCCGAAAAGTGTTTCACTATTTGAACTTTTACTCCTCATTGTTGGGAGGCTTGATAAAACGATTCTGCCATACGTGAGTGGAGATAAAATAAATGGAAAAGCAACAGGAATTATTTATACGGCGTTTTCATGTTTCACATGAGTTTGTTACGCCAAATTTCCACCTTTTCGGTAGGAGCCTGAGCCCTTTTTCGAAATTGGCCAAGCCAAAAGTGGTCAGTGCGGCCCCACCTTTACGGCAAGAGTGCACACAATTGACGGGGGAGTTTTGATTAAGAGGGCAACACACAACGAAATAATAGGCGAATGGGGGATGGCAAAGAAGATTTACTATCCCGGATGGCGATATTTCGTGCTACACCCATTCAAATTCTTCCAACCCCCAAATTCCCCATATTTTCTACTTTCCCTCGCCTTGTCTCACTTTGCAATTTTCTCATTACTTCCCTTCACGCGACTGGCTCTTCCGTAGATACACAATCGAGGGCTGAGTCAGTAATTTCCTATGAGATTTTCAAGCCTAAAGAGAGACTGAGTGGAATCTGATTCGGTAATACAGTGTCTAAAGTGACTTAAGCATTCACCAAACTTATCAAAATAATATTTTCTCATGTTAGCTGTGAAATTCTTTGAGAATTCTATTATGCAACGATGAGCTTTTTTTTAATTTGAAACTTAATTAGCTTTTGTTTATCATAAAGTAAATAGATAAAATCATCTTCTCTGATAAATAGAAGGGGAAAATATGAAGCTTTCAGAATGAAACTCTCTTGTCTAGAGCTTAGAAAGGATTGGATTGAATCCTATCTCTAAGGAAAATACGATGTCTGTTGCAAGTAAAAAAAAATGCGGTCGCAGGTGTGAGTGAATAGTAGTGGAAATTGGAAGTTTTCTCTCCTTCTGTGAGTTTGTGTGAATGTTTTGGACAGAAAATTATGTTATGGTTATGTTTAAAATTGTTTCGACGGTGGGTTGATTTACATAAAAGGGAAGTGCAAATGTTCTCTTGCCACTCGCCGTGTCGAGAGGAAAGGCCCACCCGAGGCGCCAAACTGCATGTGCGACTGGCAGGAAAATTTCGGGGGTTGAATGCAACTGGTGGGGTCGCGTGTACTCCCCATGGCTCAAAGGGGGTGTTTTCTCCCTCTTGGGGTCCCGGGCCAAGACGGTGGGCAATTTTCAATTTTAGCATTATATAGAACAACAGCGACATTCCGGGCCACGGAAGTGCCCGCCGGAATGGGGGTTTTGCATGACGAAAATTGAGTCATTAACTTCTCACATAAAACTCTCCTCTCTTTATGGCAATTTTGAGGGTGCGGGACTTTGTTTTCGGCAACACCCACTAAGGCGATAATGATTGAAGAGGCTTCAATCGTCTGCCTATCGCGGAATTGATTGCTTACGGGGTTGCTGACCCCCAAAATGATCAGCTGAAATTTCAAGCAAACCCTTCTGCATAAATCTTTCCGCTGAGCATTCCGCAAAAATGCTTGGCTTCCACTCCCTTTTCAACTTCAATGCGAAAGCCTCTGTGCAATTTGGCATTGTGGAAAAAAATCCCCATCTAATTTCAGACGCTGTGCTTTTTCTGCCGCCCCTCGTGGAAAAATCCCCCAAAATACTTTATCCACGAAGCCACGTAACGATTATTATTGGGCAGACCCCCGAAGCTTTTGTGGGCTTTTTCCACACCCCCAAAACCCGTGGCATTATGTAAGCGGATAGCCAGCGGCTCATGCGGTTGATACTGTAAATTATTGCATACAAATTTTTAATGTCTAAATTTGCATGAAATTCGTTCAATTTCCTTTCAACGTACAACTCACTTCGCTGTGCGCCGACTGAGCCGCCCAAATGTTGAAGGAGAGAGGCATAAAGAATTGATGAAACCTGGCAATTATTGAGAGCATTTCAATGCAAAAGTACCCCTCAATTTCTCATGTCTCGGCGGAGTCTCGCGGTATTTTGGGGTGTGAGTATCGTGTTCGAAAATGCTCCAATTTCCACGCAATGGATGCACGATTGGGGAATATTTCATGAGCCTTTTCCACACAGTGATTTGCGCTAAAGTACCAGCGGTAATGAAATGGTGGAGAACATTCAGTTATGACAGGAGGCGAATCTTCATGACGATCAATTTGTACCAATTACGATTGCTGTTTTAGTGGTAGGAGATCTTGCATGAGAGCTTTAAGCGTTGTGGTGGATAAAGAATTACTATATTTTGTCATTATTTCATGTGATTTGGCCAATAAGATATTTCGAGAAATTGTTATTGGAAAATCTATATCATATAAATATACCTAATAATTCTTCTGAACCACAATATACGCTACTTTGCAGTTCTTTTTCAAGTGGAAAACCACTTGTGAAATATTCTTTGTGAAAACAAGTTTCGTAAATCTCGTATGAACGATTGTATTCACGATTCAAATGAGTTTTGGAATGACTTCTCTTCATAAATTTTGGTGATTGGTGTTTGTCTTAGGCTTGGAAGAATTTTTATAAATAAAATAAAAATCAAATTGAATTATTTTTGCTTCTTTTTTCTCATAAGAGCATTTCATAACCTGATTAATGTTCACTTGAATTTAATCGATGAGCTACAATATTAAAGGATTCCAAATTAAATTCTCTCTTCTGGTGGACGCATTCACATTTTGTGAAACATTTTCAACATGCATCTCATTTCCAATTCAAATGACACGTCGATTTTTTTTTGCCCAACACACTCTTTTGAGTGTGAGAAGGAAATTGATGGAAATGATGCAGGATTCGAGATGAATTCTGCCTCACTAATTGATGTTTTGCATGCCTAATTGGCCATAATTGTGAAAATTTGCACTTCTTCGCCAATTCTGTGAATACATTGCTCGCCAGACGATGGAGCGGGAAGTGTGTTGTGGTGTAGTCAATAAATTGGGGCAGGTGAGGAGGATGACACGAATTTTTACGTCAACCCCTTCCACTTGAGTGCGAGGGTGTTCTTGGCGCGCTCATTTACATCATAGCTGTGTGTGTCACATGGCGATTGCGGGGGCCGGCGGGGGTGCCCCTAATGCAGGCCGGAGCCTGCGCTCCACGCCGGGGCATTCCAGCCGGTCTGGCCCCTTGAGTACGCACTTTGATTTATGGGGTGAGCTTTCGGCATGCTGAAAGCACGCGTGAACTTGAGTCAAACTGGAGGCTGTGCGCATGGAGAATGCCCAGATCGCCCCACTCGGCTGCCAACTGAACGAAGTGTGACGTCACATCCCGTTTCCCCACTGTTGGAGGTGAAGTGTTGCAAAAGCCGCGACTTTTGGGGCGCCCCGTCAGTCAGTATTGTGGCAAAAGCCGCTGAATAAAGTTTAATTCTAATATACTGTACACACGTCATCTCTGTTAAACTAAGTTATGTGTCCATTTGTATGTGTTTAAATAAGGGAATAGGTAAATTCTAAAAGGGAGATGTGCAACACCCAGCTCATAGCGGGCGTAATCCACTATTAATTTGTTTGCCTTAAGAAGAAGAGAAAAAACCACAACAACAATTTTTCTGGGAGGACAAGATCCGAAAGAAGGATAAATTCTTGCAGAACGTGATAAGTTGAGGAGGATGAGAGAGAGAGATAGAGTGAACAAACAACACACACACCTGGATTATTAATGCTGAAACTGGTTTGGATAAACACACGGTTGGAAGTTGCGCCTGAAAAGTAGTAAATAGGCAGATCCTCATCCTTGACTTTCGCATATCAGTTCTTCCGAAGCCAAAGAGACACATACAGTGGCCTGGGGAAGGGAAAAAAGCTCCCGCGTGCTGAAAGTGAAAACGCCATCTCCAAAACCAAGCGACATACATAAATTATGTGGCTCTTCGTGGCAGATTAACTCCACCTCTCACACCCTCTCTCTCTATATCATAATTGAAACTGGAATACAGGGAAAAAAGCTTAAGTTGTAAAGGACACGAGGACGAACATGTGGAGCCACGTCGCTCCTCATCGCGAGATGGCGTACAGTGTGTGGTGTGCGTAACCTGTTGGCCACTTTATCTTATCACAATCGGACTAATTGCATGTCGTCCACCAGATGTTGAGTGTTTAATGAAATTGAAAGCCTCTCCCGGAGTTTCACAGACAAGAAATCGACTGCGAATCGTTGACTGTATCGCAAAAAGGATGCTTTCCATCTGATTTTTCCTTCATCGATCAGGATTTAAAAGTGCCTCACTCTCTGTTTCGGTGTTTTTGTCGGTGTATTGTTGTGCCATATTTCTCAGTTTTCAGTTCGTCCCCAGCATCCCAAGATCCCATCCCCTCAAAAGAAAAAGAGAAGCCACCTCAGTTGACCAAGTGTTGTTGTGTGTTGTAACGTCGCGTAATAAAAGAGGCGAAGACGATTTTTGAGTTTGTCGTTTTGATGTGAAAATTTCATTTGTATTTTTTGCCATCCTCGCAAAAGCTCAAGATACTCGTGAGAGAAATAAAGGAAAATCAAGTGCAATAGATAATTATTGTTAAACTGACAAGTGTGGAGAGTCATTGTGTCTGATGTTCATGGTGTGAATAGAGTTTGCGGTGTGATTAAGGAGTCTTGAGGACTCGAGGTTAATGATTCAACATTCTGAGGTCAGAGATTTGTTGGTGAAACAGTGTGGAGAGTGTTGAACTCCACTCGGATTTTGCATCTCAATCGTCACGACAATTCAACCAATATCATCCAGTGAAAAACTGTAAATAGATGTAAGTGGGGTGTTTTCCTTAATTTAAGATTCATACAATGTTGAGGAGTTACTCTGCTACACAAAGTGAAATCCATGTGGCCGCAATATTGCAATCGTGGTTACATTTGTGTGAATTTAATGCATTCATCACATTCTACTATGACTTCAACTACTCACATAGTTTTAATTCACACTTTATTATTATAGTTTGTCGCCAAATTCGCCAACGAGTATTATTTATATTAAATTTCTGTATCTATATTTTTGGTTTCCATCACGAAACTCATTAAATATCCTCCCATGTATTGTGCTTTTTATTTTCAAAAAATGTTCTAAGTCATTTTCTTATATAAATCTTTTAACTAAACGCGCAGGCGTAATTCGATTACACGAGAAAAGCTAACAAAATTTATTATTATTTTAGAGTAAATGTCTCTGATTCTAAGCACGTAAAACATCTCGTCAAAATTCATATAATACATATATTTGGTTATGGAACATTTTCCTCTTTCTGCCGTTTTTTCTACTTTTATTATAAAAGAAAATCATACTAAAATACTGCCTGCAGTATTTCATATGACGGCATAAAATAAGAATAAAACGTTCTAATTCAGAGCTGTTACAGAAGATTGATTAAATTCTATGTAATATGCAATATTCTTGCGTGCACATTTTTACTGCCATCAATCACATGGGGAAAGCTAAACAGTTTCGTGTGGTGATGAGGATGAAAAAGCTTTCAAGATGATGCCATTGTGATTTAATTCATCAGAGCTTCCTGTGAGATTTTATGAAGAAAAAATACAGAAGAAAATCTGTGTTTTTACCCGCGTGCCACATGTTACAGCAGACTGTGTGTGCGGATGGCAAAAAGAAGGTTCGTGGAGTAAATTTATGCTCATGCCATTCACGTTCTTGTAACTCCAGTGGCAACATCTTAAATTCCATTAAAGATTTCATCACTTTGTTGGGAGATTAATTCAACAATTTCCTCAACACTGAACAACAACATCGCGCGCGACTCATTGGAGCATATTTATCTGCCACATGTTCTCATTAGGGATTTGCGCGAGATGATCTCGGGGAAAACCCGGTTTTTCCACACAATTCTCCAGAGGGTTGCAGTCACGTGTTATCTGTTCGACTGGCGAGGCTGGGAAAAGAAGGGATATTTATGTGATGCCTCACAGTATCACGTACACTTGTCCCAAAGACGATCGCACAGTCTTTGTGGGGTGGACACTGAATGAGGGGTGAATTTGTGACGCCAATATCCCCGCTCGCAAAGGGTCGAGGGAGGTCATTGGGGGATTTTTCTTTACGGAATGACGCACCCGAATAATCGCCGGGCGTTTATCTTTGCAGAAAAGAGAGACCTTCTGATGATATCATGGTGAAGAGAAGGGTTTTGCGGAGCTGATGAAAGGGCGGGACTGCAAATGGGACAAATTATCCATGCAGGATAGCATAGCATCAGATACTCAGGGACGATTTATTTCTCGAGCTTCTGGGAAAGGGGTTTATCAAAAGCTCAATGCGCCATCGACAATTGTAGCTTAGTTATATCGATGTGAGCTTTTAAACAATTCATCCGTTCTCCTAAACGTGCGGCTGGCTTTTATTGAATTATCTGACGATTAAGTGGCTTAGAAGTGGGAATTAATATCAGTGGTTAAATATTATATGTTAATAATTGTGATATATGTGAAATAATTAATATGGTATTGCATCAAATAATGTTGATTTTCTGGGCAAAATTCCTCTGTTCATATTGGGAATGGATGTCGGAAATACGACTGATATTCGCTTTTTTGGTGGCTAACAAAATAATCAAATTAAAATATAAATGAATATCCCAAATAATTTAAAATAATTTCCATGTAGGCACATTTAAATCAATTTTTCCCTCCCTTTTTGGCTGACCCTTCCATGGATTGTATTAAATGTGGGATAAAATAATTGACTGATGAATAATTGAAGGATGAAACTATGCTGCAAAATTTCAGGGTATTGCAAATGATATGCGAAATGGGCGCAAAATATGTTGTGCAATTTTTGCAATCAATACTTGCCCTAGTAAAAGACATGATATTCCTCTTGCTGAGTGTGCAGAAAAGCTCCTCTTTGCAAGGGCTGTATGAGGCAAAAGCTCGCTGCTTTTCTCCCACCCACACGACGTTGTTTATTTATTTATTTTCCTCAAATCATCTTGTCAGTTCCATTTTTCAATTAAACATACACACAGCCACTCACACTCCTTACACCCATTCCTGCCAAATGTCTCTGCAAAAATGTACGAAAGACTGCGGGCAAGAAGAATGGCAAGACGGAGAGGGAGGAATATTGAAAATCGATAGAATAAATAATTCTGTTGTGTGTTCTTTCGCCCCTTTTGAGATACACTTCCTTGTTTGGGTGTAAAAGACGCAGAAAGAGGAAGTGAAGAGAAAAGACACATGATGTTATCTAGCAATAAATGGTTGAGACAATAATTGAAGGGAATTAATTTAATATTTATGCTTGGAAGTCGCTTGTGTCCGTCTTCGCCACTCTAGAAGGAATCTAATTGCCATATAGCTGGAAATTAAGAACAGTTTCTTGAGAAATTTCATTGGGAATACTCACAATTAAGGTGACATTGTTCTGAGAACTATCAATGTTTTCTTACTACACGAGAAAATATCGTTAGAAACGAATAATCTCAGGGTAACTTTAATATATTTCAGTCATATTCCAATTATAATTAATTGTTGCAAATGAAAACTGGCTTCGAAAACTCATGTTGGAAATCTTCATGAAAGCTTATTCTCTCATGTGCCCAAACTTCTCATTCTCACAAAAGAATTATAAAATTATTACTCAAGAGAGGATGGGGAAATAGAGTCTTTTCGGAGGCGCGAGAGTCTTCTCAATTTCACAGAGCAGAAAGCCGAGGCGCTTTTGGGAAAAAGAAGTTGAGAATATTAATTTGAATTCTTCAATTCGCCTCAACTCCTTGTAATTCCATTCTGGCACTTTATTCATCTATCGAGTGAGCACGTGAATCGAATTATTCAAAGTTTCCGAGCCACTCTTGGAACACAAGCGACTCGAGAGGCGCTTTCTCAGAAGGCGGATTTTCCCATCTGAGGTGATTTTTCATCATGCACTCATTATCATATATTGATTATTGTCTACACTCTAATGGAATTCTCATACATACAAATCCGAGGCAGTATTTTTTCATTGTGTGCACAAAGGTTGGTCAGTTAAGATTCGGATTTTTGGAAAAAAAGCACATTTCGTCCGTTGGTTTTTGATTCGTCAATGAATAATTTCATCCACAGGATTTAGTGATGCGCAATTGTAGCAAATGTTAAATGAACTCAATATTGCCTCCTCATTCGTGAAAATGACAGTGGAAAATGGTTGAAGTCCGCACATGTATTTGTATTGAGGTTTACCCGTTGCCCAATATTAGTTTCACGTGATTTCCTCGATGATCATGCGGAAATGGGAAGGAGGAGCGCCTGTGTGTATGTTTGCCATAAATGTTGGTGACATTGGCCAGAATGATCTGGCCAGAATTTGCACTGCATTCTACGACAATATGCTCGTGCGTGGGAGTCGCGAAAGAGTCTGTGTGGGATTGATTTGAATCCACACCAAAATAGCCCACCGTTCGCTGTGTCACGTGGTTTTGCGGTTGATACACACAAATATTGCAATGGGAGCGATATATTTTTCGCTGCTACAGAGCCTGGGAGACACACTTTCTCGCCCATCCTATCGTGACCCAGCGTGGTTATCAGTTAACGTTTAACCACAGAACACCACAGAACAAATATGCCTCATAAATATTCGCCCACAGTATAATTGGAGTTTGCTTTATCTCCCCGTCTCCAACGAGTGTGTTACCATTGCCAATGAGCTCTACCGATTTTTCCTCCGTCGATGGTGTCCGATTTATCAGGCGGTCGCCTTTTTTTTGCCCATATCGACTTTATCTCGGCAGCAAAGAGGCCCAAGAGGGTGGCCGAGAGGAGACAACAAAGCTTCACAGAGTTTTAATCTTGACTTAAATGGGACTGAAGGTGGGCCAAGTGTATCCACCGGAGGCGCCGCAAAAAAGAAGCTCACGAATACTGGGTTTGTTTATTCGCAACACTGAGGAAAAAGTCCCACTTATCTGTCTTATTCTGCGGTGTTGCTTTGTGCCAAAAGTAATTGGGAAAAGGGGATATTAAGTGATACAGAGTAGAGTTTAATCACTCGAAAGCTCCGCCTACACATAAATTATATAGTTGAAGCCCCTAAGGCGTTAAGTGTGAAGCTAAATATCAAATAGCTCTGGATCTCAACTCTGTGGTTATGATAATCAAGTTCATGAAATTTTTACTGAGTCTTATTCTTGTCGTTTTATTTAGGATTACGAATCTAAACTTTTCCAGTTTGCTTGCATATGATTTCTCTCAGTGTTGGAAAGAATCACTAAATAACAAACAACGACTGTGACACTCTCCTTGTCCCACCCAATTGATTGCACTCTTTTTTGTACACCCAGAATCCACTCTTTTTCACCTGTAAATCCCTTCCTCGGTTGCACCCAGTTTTAAGCACCAGAGAGATAGAGGATTGGCGGTAAAAAAGCGGTGGAAATCAAAATAAGACTCACCCACATGATAAGGCCGAGAGCACAACAGGAGGAGCGACACGGATTGAGCGTGGAGGTGAATGAAAGAACCACAAAAAGGAATGAGAAAGAGTTGAGGGAAAAACAAAGTTTATCAAGTGTTCAATGGTGGGATAATCTTGGTTGAAAAAGTGCACCTATAAACTTTGGAAATTGCTGCAATTTTGTACAATTCCACATACACTGATTCTATGGGTGTTTTCTCACTTTCTATTTTGACTGGAAGAGTTGAAAAAATGAAGTGGGAAATTTTATTTAGTGAGAGAGAGAGAGAGTATTTTTTGAACTGTGTGTATGCAGTTTCTCCGAATCCTTGTGATCCTTCTGAACCGTAAATAATCCCTGAG